AATAGTTCTTCAGTAACTGGTTTGAAAATCGTAGCTGTTGTTTCTGTAGCAGTTACTCGTCGACGTCGTATTTGTTGTACTTTTTGCCTAAGTAATACCTGAGATTGAGCAAGGTTTTTTTAGATCTTCTATATTTTTCTGTATACTGCTCGTTTGTCTATTATTATTATTATTATTATTATTATTATTATTATTATTATTATTATTATTATTATTATTATTATTATTATTATTATAAAATTGAAACCCCTTACTGTAAGTAAGTGTTTTTACAACAGCGAAACAGTTTAGTTGGATAATGTGTAAGTTTATCAAAAATGAAAAAGTTGTATTTATCCTTTGTAGCATTACGATAAAGTTCAATAAACTTATCTTTTGTCACGTCACCACATTGCTCACTTGCAAAATTTCTAACGTCAACATTGTCCAGTCCTGGAAATAATATAAAACAACCAGTATTTCGCCGAATAAATCTGTCAACATTATAAAAACCTTGAGCAAGATAAACAGAATTACACAGTTTATTACGTGACAGTGAGAAATACGATCTTATTTTATTCATTTCCATGTTATTTAGCGGAATATCGTCAAAAACTACTATCTTGTGTTCATCTGCATCAAGTTGATTAATTGGAATAAGATCTTCTGGCTACCTAATTATAAAAAATCTTCACCACCTTTAAGATCATCACGAAGCTTGTTATTATATTCGCTTAATAACTCATACTTATCTTGCTGTGGATTGATTGTGTAAATATAAACTCTATCGTAGTTGAAATTATTACCAAGAAGAAAGTTAATAAGCAAATTTGTTTTTCCTGATCCAGTTCGCCCAACAATAAGATAATGACAATCAGGAACATCATTGTTATGTTTGTGCTTCACCAGTCTCTCTGTATCAAAGTCTGATATCGACGATTTTGCCACTTGTATAATATTAAACTAGAGTTGATAATTTTATGTAGGACAGTAAATAATGAGTTACTATACAAAATTTCAAACACTATCAGGAGATTTATCCACAGAAGGTTATCAAGGTGATTTATCCAAGTATGCAACTCTTGATTAGCTCAAAATTGAAATCAATAATTTACTAAATGTTGCCAGTGTAGATCCAAATGAAGTAATCATTTTCCAGGACAAAGAGGGACGATTAAAGACGAGTAATGTGAAACTGTCAGATGTACTTGTACGAAATCCTGCTGCGGTTGCTGATAATATTGTGACTTTTAACAATCGAGGTAAGATACAAGATTCTGATATGTGAGTTAATGATTATGTAAAAAAATCTGGTGATTTATTTAGTGGGAACATTGTTATGAACCAAAACAAGATTACTTACCTTGGGAACCCAACTGAGGACGGTGACGCTGCCACTAAGAAATACGTCGACGATCAAGAATCAAAGTATATGTCAGTCATTGGTGGTATGATGCACGCATTTCTCAATATGAACCATAACGGTATTACTGAACTAAGAACAACCGAGTCTGATTATGATGCTGTAAACAAAACAATACGTCGATGATAAACAGATTCCAATCAGTAATGAAATCACAGCGCTCAAAAATAAATTTCTTGATCACATGAAAACGTTTTCATGTTTTCGCAGCAACATAAACACGCTTAAAGATGAATTTTTTGGAATTCCATCAAATGTCGACATTACACTCGCTAATATTAACACAAAACTCAATGATATTATTAGTGGAATTCCTATTATTGTTAAGAAAACGAGTATGATTAAAATTCCTCACAAACAGATTAAAAATATTGTGTATACTGTTGCTTCTGGGTCTGGTATATGGACAAAGCAAAATAATTATATCAAATACACTGCAGAGGTTTATGGTGTGTGTAGATTTTCAGTGCTTAGCGTTATAAAATTTAAAATATCTTCCAATTATTCGCATATTCACAATTTAAATGTTAAGATTTATGAAATTGTAACTGTAATAATAGATAACAATTCTGAGGAAGAATTTATACTTCATCCAGCTAATGAAAATTTTAAAGGCCGTGGCCCTTATTGGTGGTGCTTGGAATTTGTAGCAGAATTACAATAACCAAGCCTGGAGATTATGTAAACAAATATTATAATGAAAAGAAATATAGTTGATTTTAATCATATTTCAAAAGATATTCCAGTACTGGATGTGGACGCACTAATACAATACTACAAATATTATCACAAAAAAACTTTGGTGCGTAAAGAAATGTTACAAATATTATAAATAGATCCTTCGAGTAATATCATATTTGCCGTTGCTAATGACCAGTTCTGATATAATTTCAAGTGGGGCATCATTAAATCCGTTTTTGTTAATTATATCCGGTGCTGGTGTTTCCCTTACAGCGGCATGTAAAAAAGTAGGACCAAGACTTTTAATAAAAAACTACTTGATCAGATCCGGTCTTACCTATAGGAGTAAAATATAATATGGATTATTTAATACGTGAATTTCGCATTATGGACAATATGTAACAGACATTCTACCAATGAGGCTTAGCAAGTATGAAAAAGATTATCAAAAGAAGTATTTTATAACGAACATTTTTATCTAAACTTAGGATATAATATCACTTACCTTCCTCGTTTTTGTTCTAATGCGTAATTTAATTTCCGCCCTGCACATGTTAACTGAAATCGCCACGCTCTACTGCGTAATAAGAATCTACCAGTCTTTTACACACAGGTGATCACGTGTGAGGTAATAACATCCTTGTTTCACTACCTGTACACTGATACCTAATTGCGTTAAAAAATCCAGGTAAACCGATGACTAACAGTCACCTGTAAAATATAGTGAGAGGCTAAACTGATAGATCTTATCTTTTCCGACTGAAATTTTATCTAAACTAAAGAAATAATGTTTGAAAAATTTAACAGTGACAAATAGCTACTGTAGTAAAATCTAATATCAACAATTGAAACAATAATCATTGGTAATGAGGTATAAAATAATATCACTTACCTTTCTCACTCTGTAAATGTCCGCCACTATGATTAAGCTCCACGTTCTAATTTCCGCTTTTCTACCTGGTAAAGGCTGGCTCTACTGCGTAATTAAGAATCTCCAGGTCTTTTATACACTGGCGATAACGTGTGAATATTATGAGATTTCATTGGTCCACAACCTCTTTATGACGCATTCTTGTGCGAGCTTACCTAGATGATTCACCGATCACATGGCATCACCTGCACCTGTTGTTGTGTAAAAATACATGACAGGGTATCACCTGCTGTGGTATAATGACAGAGTTTGTGTTAGCTTACCTGGATATCGATCTCGTACATGACATTATCTCTACCTGGATTCACTAACACTGTAATAACAGAGAGTGGGGGAGCTAAAAACCTTACTAATACTTTTGTTAAATAAGGGGTGGGGGTATAGTTTAGGATATAGTTTGTATTTGTTTGGAGGGGCAAAATAAGGGTTTCAGCTGAAAACCTTGTTTTCCCCTACTACTTCCACAACGATGATTGAGTGATTTTTGAGAAAACATTTGAGTGCATGTCTGATTTTAAATCAAAGATCAGTTGTTAATAATATCCGGAAAAAACCTTACACGTGTGTGTGTGTGTGTGTGTTTGTGTTGTGTGTGTGTGTGTGTGTGTGAGAGAGAGAGATAGATAGATAGAGAGAGAGAGAGAGAGAGAGAGAGAGAGAGAGAGAGAGAGAGAGAGAGAGAGAGAGAGAGAGAGAGAGAGAGAGAGAGAGAGAGAGAGAGAGAGAGAGAACCTTCTCAAAGTTATGAAAGTAGGCGACACTTGTAGATTATTTGTTAAACATATGCACTGGGGGCACTATAAAAATTAATTTTAAAGAATAATACACATGACAATCGATCTAAAGATCAGGAACTTCTAAAACATAATGGTATAAAAATCAAAGCATCTTAATATTCCAAAGATAAGTTGACTGTTTAAGTGTTAATGATATCGATCGAGATTACGTACTTGGTCAAGGCAGATAAACGAGACGAAATGACGCAAGTTAATCAGGGCAGGGACTGTCTGCGACTCTGGAACTACTGGAGTGGCAATCATAAGGAGACTCGTTAGCCAACCAAAGATATAATCAAAGTCACGAGATAATCAAATGCTCTATAGAAAGTCCCCGTGCATTGTTCTGAAAAATACGATAGAGCAAGTTCTTGGAATTTTTACACCATGTAGGAAATTCACCACTTCAGACTGTGTGTACAAATTAGTCGTGCCCTATAAATAAAATAGCGCTCAAATTATTGTATATATTTTTTACATGGAAACAAATAAACGCCAGCACACTGGGTATTAATTCAGTCTCACTGACGCTGAGTGAATGATGTAAATGGTGTTGTAAAAAAGGTCTCAAACGTGAGATCAACTTGGAAATATTAATATTAATATTGATCAGATTTATTTAGTCTTTACGCAAATCGCATCTGCCAACAACCGAATTTAACAAATCCTCCAAATGTGACTTGCATATATAAACGATAGATATAAATGAAACACGTGGAATGACTTTGTCTCTCTATTCAGCGATCAATAATGTGATTCATAATCTAAAGTCTAACAAAACATAGACCGGTGAGTTACCATGAATTAACTTTTCATACTGTTGGTAGACAGTAACTCAAAGACGCGAGATCGTAAATCTTCCGTCCCCTGTTTTGACCGATAGCCCAGTTCCGTTACTCACTTACCCAAATAAAGCAACAGTTGCAAATGCAAAACCGATGTGTTTGCTGCTGGTACTTTCGCTTTCTTATCAAAATAATTATATAATCTGTGTGTGAATAGATTTTTAAAGTAGCTTTAACAATTTTCAGTTATATCGCTACGATGTCTGTCGTGTGACAGTTTACAGGGATGTCAACCAGTCTAGGGCATCATGCCGCAGACCCAGTCACATTATCCTTACACGAGGCCGACCAGTCCTAACACTAACCTCTTAATGCTGAGCGCCAAGCGAGGTAGCTGTTAGGACCATTTTTAAAGTCTTTGGTATGGCTCAGCCGGTTTCGAACCCACGACCTCCCGCATCCGAGGCGGACGCTCTAACCACTAGACCACCTGAGCGGTTATTATAGCATCTGTAATTGCAACCGTTTTGCGTTCTTATCGATGTTATTATGATATCTGAAGATGTGAGTAAACATTTTGGATTGCAATTCTTAACATTATATTAGGTTGTTTTTTCTTTTCTCCGGCCAATGTAAACAATTTTATTTATATTCAGTACATTTAAGAAAGTGCATGAACTCAGATAATACAAATTCACCATAGTTAGTCTTGGTCTTCCAAAAATACAATTACTCATGTTTTTCTTTATATAATATGATGTAATAATATCCCACATAACTGACTCTCTTCATTAATAATAACAACAATTATATTAATACGGACAATAACTAGAAACAAGTGATAACTAAAGGTACGTGAATGAGAAATAAACCAAACTAACCTAGAGTTTAATTGACATGTATAGGCTCTAAATAGGCCGCTCTATTTTTTTTTCATTTGCGTGTGGCTTCCCATTCGGAGTCTTCTTGATCTAAGCTGCATGGTTACGTGTTTCAAGAGCCTTCTTCATTTTCGCTCAGCACTGTATAACCCCAAGCATTCAATGACCTGAATGTTCGAAAACAAATGTAAACAAATGTTTTGTACTAATGGCTACCATCATAAACTTTAACTGAGTTGGTGGAAAGTTCTTTTTAAACAAAAACTTTGCAAAATTAGTTCTCTAATAAAACAACCCAGAACGAATCATTGAAATTGTGAGTCGTTTTGACTCACAAAAATGTCAGGAACGCGCGAAGTTATTTTAGTGTTCGTGTGTTTAAAGCGATCGACTTTTTGTTGTGTTTTTGTTCTTGTCTATTTTCCTTTTGGGGCGGGATGTTTGTTTATGATTGGTTTGGTTTTTGTTCGCTTTTCGTTTTGTTTCTTTATTCTTTAACTTCTTTTCTAGGCCTGCTTAAAGTTATATGTCAAGTAATATTATAAATATGAGAAAGGTTTATGACAAACTTTATTTCACGTTCAAACTAAGTTAGCCTCCGTATTATGATGGAATTAATGTGTCTACTAAGTAGTGGACAGAAAGTTATGTTGCAGAAATACGCGTCGATGTTAACATCATGTATTGAATTTAGATATAGCAGCTAACTGTGATATTTTAGGTCTTGTTTGTAACATTTTATCTTAAATCATACAAAATAATATTTTTCTGATTGTATATCAGATTTGTGTCACAAAAACTGGTTAGTTTTGAAATCCTCATTATTTCAAACAATTGTGAATGATGGTTTGAAAATGTGTTATTGATTTATTGTAATTTAATTCGTATGTGCAGGATAATAATCAGTAGGAATTCGTTAGGTGTCATAGCTTTAGATAAGAGCATGGCATACTGATAATATTATTCACTGTTGAATTAAATATAACTTTGATCAAAGATAAATAATATTATAAAATTCCTTTTCTTTGTTCATTAAGATTGATTTTGTTTTGTTTTATCTTTAATCCAGCCAGACTTAGGCATTGCGCCACATGACGTCGAGTCGTAAATAAAGTCATGTCTTCGGGTCATATGTATTCGCTTTAGATGGCTACAAATTTAAGTTTGATTAAGTTTGACATTTGAACATAGCTGCAAAATAATCGCCATGCAAAGTCTGTTATCATTTAATCTCAGTGAATAAACTCCTACAGCAAATAATTTCATGACGATTTTTAGGATTTGGTGCCTGATGTTTAGTATGTTAACTATTTTGTAGAAATTTATTGACGGAGAACAGTTTAGGTGTATTTACATACATACATACATACATACATGCATGCATGCATGCATGCATGCATACATACACACATGCATGCATGCATGCATGCATGCATGCATGCATGCATACATACATACATACATACATACATACATACATACATACATACATACATACATACATACATACATACATACATACATACATACATACATACATACATACATACATACATACATACATACGTACGTACGTACGTACGTACGTACGTACGGACATACATACATACATACATACATACATACATACATACATACATACATACATACATACATACATACATACATACATACATACATACATACATACATCAGTTCCATTCGGAAGCATATTTCAGTTCATGCCAATAAAACACTAGTATATTCCTTAGTGTTTTCAAGACTGGACTATTGTAACCCAATTCTGTCTGGTTCGTCTCAATAGATACTTCAGAAACTTCAAAAAGTTCAAAACACAGCTGCTCGGATCATCCTTAGAGTACCATGATCAGAGCATGTACCCCCTGGTCTGTACCATACAGTGGTTATCCATACGATCCAGAATTAAAGACAAAATGTGTTCTCTGTGCTACGTTTCACTGACGGGTTCCATTCCAACATATCTATCAGACCTCACCTATGTGTACACACCAGCAAGATACTTGCGCTCCTCTTCTGACACTCGTATTCTTGTTATTCCCACTATGAAAATGAAATAATATGGACAGCATTCTTTTGAATTCCAGGTCCCAGCAACGTTGAACAAATTGCCTACTGAACTTAGACACAAAGACATAGTGATCTCAAAACTCACTTATTTCAACTGCAAGAACAGACTTATAGACCTAATACTGATTCCTTACCCTAACTATTTACAGCAAGTTTTCTGTTTTCTAATTTCGTGGTGTTTGTTTTTTATATTTGTAATCATATCATTATATATGTTTTAAAGTGTTGTAAAATGTTATAAAGCGCTTAGAACTTCTAAAGATTATGTGCTATACAAAGTCCTCATTATTATTATTATTATTATTATTATTATTATTATTATTATTATTATTATTATTATTATTATTATTATTATTATTATTGAGAGAGAGAGAGAGAGAGAGAGAGAGAGAGAGAGAGAGAGAGAGAGAGAGAGAGAGAGAGAGAGAGAGAGAGAGAGAGAGAGAGCTAAGTAAATCATACAGTTAATTTAGTTATACCTGTCCCACCAACTGAAGATTTAGGTGAAGATATTCAATCGGACTTTACTGATTTTTGAGCAACAAATCTTCGGAATTCATAAATTATGAATAATCTGGACAAGAACCTTTCGCATTTGCAACAACAGGAAAAGAATGAACTTAAACACCTATCATTTGAATATGAGCACTTATTTCCAGATGTACCTATAAAGGCAAACAACATTTTTTTCAAGATGTTAAAATTGTGAGTTTCAGACCTGTGAAACAACACCCATAACGAACAAATCCTCTCAAACAGGAATACTTGAAAATGAAAATTCAGTATTTGCTGAAGATTTATTTCATAAGCACATTAAAAGTGATTGTAGTTCACCATGTATACTTGCTCCATAACCAGTTAAAACTTTCCGTACTTGCATTGATTATAGGAAGGTGAATAGTGACAAAAACAGATTCATTTCCATTGCCAACAATCGATGACTGCTTTGATAAAATTGGAAATGCCAAATATGTCACAAATTCCACTAAAAGGCAAATGACATTTTATGCATTCATGACTCCAGATGGACTCTTTGATGAATATGATTACCTCTGCTCTAGATAATTGTGATGCTTGCATCCAAAATGTCGTCATCTACAACACCTGGAAAGAACATATAACAACTATTCGGAAATTCTTTGATATACTCAGTGATGCAAGTTTGAGAATCAATTTATCTAAATGTGAGTTGTGCCGTGCTAGTCCAATATTTCATGGATATAGTGGGACATGGACAAGTTTAACCTATAGATTCTAAGGTCAAAGCCTATCTCTGAATTCCTTGTGCCTGTCAGTAAAAAGCAACAGATGCGATTTTTGGGTATGGCTGGATACCATTGGAAATTTTGTTGCAATTTATTTGTAATTATTGCTGAACCCCTGACAAATTTGTTGAACAAGAAAGTAATTTTCTTTGGACTGAATGGACTGAAAAATGTCATGATGCTTTTGATAGGTTTAAAGACCATACTTAAGAGTGCACCAGTTCTTACAGCTCCAAATTTCAGTCAACCATTTAAATTATATGTGGATGCAAGCGATGTTGGTGTGGAGCAGTATTGATTCAAGAAGATAGAAATGGTGTTGAACATTCTGTATGTTTTTTTTTTCGGAGACGTTATATAAGCACCAAAGAAATTACTAACAATTTAGAAGGAATACTTGGCTTTAATATTGGCATTACAACATTTGAAGTTTACATTAGTTCAGCTCATTCTCCAGTTGCTGTGTTTAGTGATCACAACCCTTTTACTTTCGTCATGTCACGGAATTGTATACATTTATTATTTTTTCTTAAGTAAATGTACTTGGGTTTCCTTGTTCGTGTACAATAATACCCTAGTGTGATCGGTGTATGTTCTACATTATTATAAATCAGTGAGTTCAGTTTATATCGAGCCGTACGAGCAGAATGCTTTAAATGGGAAAACCCGAATACATGAATTGCACAGACGATATTGTGCTACATTTCCTATGTATAAATGCATCACACTAAAATCAATTATAGATTTACTTTTATACCTATGGAAATGGATATGGACTATGTAATATGGACTAAGAGAAAAGACAACGAATTTTAAGTGAAATTCATATGCTGAATAAAGAAAAAGAACATCCACAGACTCCAAATTAGATTAAATTGCAAAAATTAATAGAAAAATAATTACAAAGTATAAATTGGATTCAGACATTCCCAGGCGTGAAGTGATGTCATGTTAGTATTGACTGATTGATTCACGTCTTTTATATTTTTCTTGTTACAGACCCAGCTAAGCCAAGGTTGTGGAAAGAATCATAATATGTAAAACAATTGTTAATCTTAAAATAAAATGGACCGTCCAGGGACTTTTAATTGCATTAAAACAAGAACTTGACAATATTGCTTGGAACTTGATTCATACTGCAATTACAATATAAAAAGTGTGAAATTGTGTCAGAGAAATGATAGCTAAATAGGTATCATAATCGAATATATTATAAATTAACTATATATATATATATATATATATATATATATATATATATA